TCCGGCGGCCCTGGTCCGCGCGGTGGGTGCCCGGCGTTTGGGCGGGATCGCTGCCCTCATTCAATTTTGTCCTGAATTTTGTGACCCTGGGAGCAGGGCGTACCGAAGTGAAGCGCAGCAGTCTAATGCTCGGCGTGGCCTGAGCGCTGACGCTCGGTGTTTGGTGCTGGAAGGCATGACATTGAGCTCCGCTCTGCTCAGACCTCTCTTGCGCTTACAGACGATAGATAGCAGCGTCTCTCGGGGATTCTTTTTGTCCCGCTCAGCAGCATGCCAAGTAAAACTTTGAGAAAGGCACATTAGGTTTTTATGGGTAGTATTTATCGCAGCATCTCACGGTTAATGTGGCTGTGGTATGCACTGAGTCAAAGCTGTGACCACAATCTCAATTTGGACATTTGAAAAAAGAGAAGGTTCCCTTGCACAGCATTAATAAAGATTTAACCTCTATACTTTGATGGAATATTTGACCAATTCTATTGGAGGACTTTGATCTTTTGACCGTGTTGGTGTGTTAACAGAATGATCAATGAGAATTGGCTGTCAGGAATTACTGCTACTTCAGGATTGCTCCTCCAGCTTAGTTTTCTATTTAGGCAACTTAAAACTCCTTCTGAATTAGATATAGCTAATCCTTGCTTTAGCAGTTGGCAAGTTCATTTAGTTTATCAGTGGATTAAGTGCTGGACTTTGAGAATGCTCTTGCAGATAGTTAGATAAAAATGGAAAACTGTTTTTCTTTATTTGGCATAGTTACTTTAAAAATTCATCAGTAGCTATTTTTATCCCTACTATTAAGGACTGAGAGGGAAAATATAAATATTTGTTAGCAGCCTGTTGCACGGGAGTTAAAACTACAATAATAAACTGCTGCATGTTTGGCAGGCTCAGAACAAAGGCAGGCCTCTGGACTCCTGAGTCCTGCTTCTAGTGCTGTTGTTTTAACATCACCACTAAGTAATGTGAAGCTCAGGAAAAGTTTTGAAAATGTTTTAAGATTGAGATCTGTAAAGTATTTTAAGTTCAACTGATGGATAGTGCAATTCTCATGAAAGACAAAGGTTTTAGATTCAAGAGTGCAAATATACTTATTGAGAACAGGTTGAGATACAGATTTTTGTTTAAAATAGCTGACACATTTTCTCTTTTCTAACTATGATAGAGAATGAAACTTGAAATTAAGACGTACCTATTATTGTGTAGGCTTCCTGTTACTAAATGAAGCATGATGTATCTGACTGACATAATGTACTGATGCAGTGCTGAATTTGACATGACTCTTTGGATGAGTGGAACAAAAGTGCTCCTGAGGAAAGTTGCTTAACGTGGGCCTTTAACATCTTGAAGCCTTTCAGTGCTTTTGAAGCAAGACTTCAAAGCGACATGTCAGACTCCCATGTATCTAATGATAGTGTTCACATGTCACTGTATTCCTGCAAGTACTGGAATCCAGATGCTCTTCTAGCATTTATCATGTTCTAGCAAAGGAACTAATCCACCAACCAAACAGAAAACTCTCCAACAAGAAGTGCTTGAAGTGGTGATATAACACTTGGCCAAACAGAACAGGGGGTCACCTTTATTGTGTGCAATAGTTAAAGTGATGCTGATCCTGATACACTGAGGTAAAACTTCTCTTGTGTTAGCTTGTCTGCACTGTACATTTGCTTTCAAGTTTGAATCCAGGTAGTGACAGGAGCTTCCCAGAGAGTACAAATCCTACTAGTCCGCCAATATAGCACCTCTCTGTAGGCATCTCATTGCTTGTACCAATACAGAGAGTCCTTTAGAACAATATCATAATAGTCCCAACTCTGTAATTTGCTTACAGTGTAGAGTGTGTGGAATGGAGTTAAAATGAATGAAAGCTTGCCTACCTGTAAAAGGTCCCAGCATGTTTGAAAATGCCTCTTTCACTTCCATATGTTCCTGCACCTGTGTAAAGATAGAGCTAAATCAATGAAGTTGGTGTCTGCCTTCTGGATTATCATCTAACTGCATTCAGAAATGGAATCAAGATTCCTTTTTTTTTTGCCCTTATTATATCTATTGGAAGGCTATTTGTGAATTTTCTTCCTTCTGCAGCTAGAAACAAGCTTTGGTTTCCAGCTGAAATTAATTTATGGTCCTTTAATATCAATTTATGCCAATCTTACGTCTTAACTAGAATAGGTTTCTTGGTACCCTGACACGTTTGTCAAAGGCTGGTCACTACCAGCCTGTTTTCCTAGCCTCAACAGGCTGTTTTTCCTTTGCCTTATCATAAAACTGAATTTAGGAAATCTAATGATAGGAAAGCACAGCTCTTCTCTGAAGTTGTTTCCCTTTGAATTAGTCTTTCTTGTGCAATCTGGTCATTTGTGTTTGCAGCATTCCAGAAGGTCTCAGGCTCAATGCCACTAATACCTCATTTGATACATCCTAAAACTACAATTATCTTCTTCATGTCCAATGTCTACAAATTATTATTACTTAATATATCCTTTTATCCTAGGGTTGTTCCTCACTAAGAAATCTCAACCTTTTAGGAGAAATTCCTGTTATCCTTGAGTGCATGACCATGTACTTTGTCCTATTACCCGACTCCATTTTTGTTGGTGCAGTTCTAAAGATCGTTCGGTACTTTGTAGGATTTTCTCCTTGGATGATGAATGCTACTTCTGAGTCATCAACAAACTTCACTTCTCTCAGTGACTTGAACACAAATATAAGTGTGGGATTTGTCTGAAATGTGATTCTTGATAAAGTAGAGCAGTAATTTCCTGCCAGGTCAGTAATCTCCATCGTGTAACTGCTGGTATTTCCTTTTTAGTCTGTTGATTTTCTAAGTGTGCACATCTTTCCATCCCCCTCTTTTTCTTTCGTTCCCCCCTCCTTTTTTTTCTTCAGCTCTGTCTGTCACATCGTAATTGGTATGCACTTTATGGTCATATTTAGCAATCACACTGTACTTATTAGAACAGTCAGTTATCATACCAAGGAAGATAATTTCTGTTCGCCTTTCTTTGATATCTGTTCTAGGCTGGTGCTCTTGTTAGGTCTGTGTCATGGACTTCAGGGTCTTTGGCTGCGTTTAAATTTTTTATTTTTTTCTTTGTGGCTAAATACTGCTTTCATGTGCTTTGAGTTCTGTTCTGGAGTTCAGTTCTTGGAGTGATGTGGAATGTGCTGTCTGATATGTGAATGCACAAAGTCATTCTGATTCCATTTCAGTTAGGATTACCATACAATTTTTATGCATTAATCTTCATTGGCTCAACCTGCTGTAATACATTTCTTTGGCTTGTAACAAAGGGGTAAATAAGAACACAATTGTAGAAATACAGCTGTTTGTTTAAATATTGAGAAGGAGTTGCAGAATTTGGCTTTGACAGGAACTGAGTAGCAGTGCTGGAAGAAGACAAAGAAGTGTGAGAAGATTGCCCAGAAGCAGAAGAGTCCAGAATAAAGTTGAGCTTCCTTTCACATCTTCCAAACCTTTGTTGAGCTGGGTGCCATACTAGGCAGGGATGTTAGGGTCACTCTGAAAGTGACAATGAGCACCTCACATTACCTAGAGGAAGGAATCTCAGGTATTTGTATCGAAGACCAGTTTGATGAGGAAGTTGACTTGCATGATTAGAAGTTCTGTGGAAAGCAGAGTTTGTTTGAGACTGGGTGAATTTGGCAGCAGAACCCACAGAGGAAAGAAACTCAGGTAGGTTCTTGCACTTGCTTATTTTCACTGTGTATGAAAACACTGTTTTCCCCTTGCCAAACAATACCTTTGCTTGTAGACAGGGAAAGAAGAAAGTGTCTTTTGAAGTTCTAGTTTGTTTTAACAACTACTGTGACTGACAGTGTGAAAAACAAGAGAGAAAATGCTATTAACAACTGCAGAAATATTCCCAAGTGTGACAAATACTGGTGGACCTTCTAAGTAACACATTTGCAGTGCACAGCAAACAAATTAAAACTTAGTAAACCAGATAGTTGAGCATTCATATCAAATGTACCTAAACCTTAAAATAATCTTTGTAAATAGTTAATTGCATATGTATTCAAGGTACAAATTTCTTCTGTGTGTTTGTCTTTGCAAACAAAGATGTAGTGCCTTGATTTTTCAGCAATTTTTACATGCCATACTTGGATTCAGAGGTACAGAGAAAGAGGTGTTTACTGCTGGCAGAGAAGGATGGTCTTGGCCTTGCTTGCAGAACCTGAGGGAAGGTGCCAGTTTTCCATATCCAATGTCCTAGATTGTCCTGTTGTTGTTCTGCAGGGGAAGAAGCACCTTGCCATGCCGTTATGCACTCAGCTGCTGCGGTTGCCATCAGCGCACTGGAAGGGTTACTGACAAATGTGATTATAGAGCAGTTGCTTGCTGTGGGCTTTAAATGCGACAGCAAGCAAGGCACAAGAATAATGCTTACTGAGATGAGTTTAGTAGTATATAATGCATGATAACCTGGGAGCCAAATGTGAATGTTAGATGTGAAAAGTATTTGCTTCAGTAGGATCCATTTGAGGAAATTTTTGTATATTTTTCCTGCTTATCTCTCCTTTCATTCTAGTCTTTTACATGTGACAGTGTTCATCTTGCTGTTTTTCAGTGGCCCATCTGAGGCTTTCTTGGGTGTCATCTTTTCTACACCTAATCAAATGGAAGAGGAAATAGGCAAAAAATGATGTGTTCTCTGATCCTTTGAAGACTGGAGCTGTGATGCTGAGGCGGGGGAGAATACATGTTAGGCCAACGGTGAAAGGACAGAGTGCAGAAAGGTATACAGCTGCAGTGCACAGATCCTGAGACAGTGGACACAGATGGAACAAGATGCATGGGGACATATGCATCTCTTCTCCACTGCTGTAAATTTACCCAATTGTATCTTACCTGTGCTGTATGCCTCTCCCAGTTTAGCTGCTAGCCTTGCACATTGCTGTATCCCATCCACTTAATCTCAATGGAAATTAAATGAGATAATTTTTTTTTTAGCATAAATGCTCTGATTTGTGATTCATGCAAAAGCAGTCAGTATGTCTTTTACACAGCTTTAAAATAATCGTCCTTTATAAGTACTCAGTGAAAGCTTATTTTTCAAAAACTTTTACTTTCTCCCTCAAAATAAACATATGCCCCTGTTGACCAGCACCTTCATAGGAAGTTTTACCAAATCACAGCAACGTGAATTCAAAGCAATGTAACTATTCACGAACTGCACAAAGCAGCGTGCTGTGTTACGGGAGTTGTGCTGAAGGTTTTTTTCAGCCATCTGGTGCCTCCCTGCGGCTCCTGGGCACAACTCTTCAAAATCGGCACATAGCTTTCTATTCCTTCCACAGGACTGACGATATTCCTGCTCTCCCTTTCTAAAAGTTCAGGTACAGCTGTAATGGCATAAATAACTGTCTAGCTGAACTCATCCAGCTCTGAGGTCTCTTCCGTGTCTCTTTCCATTTGCACAATGCACACCTGACAGTTGCTCTGCACCTGCTCACGTGATACATAGAGTTTTACTTGCTGGTGTCCAGGAACCTGTTGTATGGTTTCCCGAGCAAGGCAGGGAAAGGGTACATCCCAAGATGAAATTAGCATGACATCTAAACCAACGAGAATGTGCTGGTATAGGAAAAATGTTGCTGCATGCAGCTTTTTAAAAAAGTCCTCTGTTCTAAAAATTGCAAGCGGTATGTAGTTTTCCTGATGGGGTTTGTTGCTGCACCAAGTGAGCACGATGGTATTTGAGTTTCACAAATACAACAGAATTTGGTGTCTTGTTTCTAAAATGGGCACACAATCTCTGTTGATCTCTACAGCATTTGTGTTTCTGATAATGAGTAGAAAATGAAGCTGTATAAAAATGTGAATTATGGTAATGACAATAGTATGGAGTAGAAGGATTTAGTGGGAGCTTGATACTGTGTCCCTGTGATCTCTTTAGGGGTGTCAGTATGTAAAGTGTAAAGAAACCCTCATAGCAGTGTGCTGGTAGGGATGGGACCCCGTCTGAGACACTGTGTGTACCTTCTGCGTAACATGTCTTTTGTCACTCCAGGCACTTGCTGTGCAGGCCAAATAACTGTATTTGTATATATCCTGGCAAAACTTCAGGGATAGCAGTTGTATGCCAGCACAAGTGGTACCAATAAAGCTTCCTGGAGTAGCGGTGATTTTAATGTAGATTCAGTAAAAGGTATTTTCACAGAGAAAGGGAAATAATTTACACTGTTATCACTGTGTCCGCCCTAAATGTGATAGTGGTGAGATTACTGCAGGAAAACAACAACACAAAACAACCCCCCAAAAGGTTACATTCTTAATCAATGTGTTTATAGTAGTAAAAGCTGTGTGTAGATTGGATCTGAGAACAGCATATAGGCACTGCTTAGGAGAAAAAGAACAATTTGAGTTCACACACATTTTTGATTTTGTGTGCTCGTGCTTTCTTTATCTCCCTGGGAGTTGGGTGTTGAGTGGTGGAGGGGGCTGCAGCCTACTGTGGTAAGGTCAGAACCCACCAACGTTGTACCGATTCTGTCTGGTAGTGACTGAAGGGCAAGCTTTGGACTCCAGGATACTTGATTAAAAGGTGATCTTTGGAATCCAGTATGCTTCAATCAGTTGATGTTGAAAGCTGGTATTTCAGCATCTCTGTAGATAAATGGAGTTCCTGTGTTGTCTGTTACAGCTTGTACTTTATTTGGAGCATTTCTTATGGATAATAACAGTTTACAGAGAAGGGAATTGCAGGAGAGCATGCTTTTGCTATTACTGCTCTTATCTGAAATCTCAGGTTACTCTATAAACATCAAATGAGTCTCTGAGCACAGAGTAGGTTAGAATTACACTATCATTATAATGACTAAAATGAGGGCCAGAAAATTAAGTGATTTGGTAAAATTATTGAGTGATAATGTTGTGATGCAGCTGTTAACAATTAGGCATCATGAAAGCAATGTAGTTTTTACCTCATTATGAAAATGTTAGATCAAGGAACTGGGTACATGAAGAGCAGAATGTACCTCTTATTTCACAGCTTTCGAATGAGGCAAAGTTTACGTGAGGATGTAGTATACTTGTGCTTAAAGCACAGCTCTGGAAACAAGCACAGAACTGCCAGGCATAATCTAGTTGGAAAGAAATACTATAAAAAGTGAAATAAAGAAAGCTTCTGCCATCTAGCTTCAAGAAACATCTTTCTTTGAACATAAAGCACATGGATCTAAGTGATGAAAGATCTGACCTACGAGTAACTACTGATGTTGCCAAGGCTTAGCAGTAACTGCACCATGCTGAGTCAACAATTCTTCACATTGGAGGACCCCTGTTGAATGACAGCAGTATAATGCTATCAGATTTTCACATCTTTTAAATCTGGCATGCTTTGCTCAGAAGTTCAGTGAGCATTGTTTTCTCTTTGAAATTCTTCAGCTGCGTGGCTGATGTAGTGTTTGAAAAGTTCCCAGGAAGGCTATGGGTTTTGAAATGTTATCTGTCTACGCTTGATTTTAATTAAAAATGGTTATTCCACTGTGTTTCCCCAGTTTTTATTTTTCTGTTAAGATGCACTATACAACTAGTTCATTAAAACATAGCTTTAAAAGATAGCTGTGTAATATATGGCTAATGCAGATGCTGTTTGCACTTGAAAATAATTTTAAATAGTTTTCTTAATCTCTTCAAAATTCAGTATTGCTATTATACCACAATCTGTTTTGCAAATAAATAGTATATATTGATGAAACATGTCAATATCCATTTGACTTATGAGGCTAAGTTAAATAATTCAAGGACAGATCTGTAGTGCTTCTCATTATGCATTCTCAGAATTATTTAAATATTTGTTATCACTAATCTCTAATAGAGAGCCTTTTCACATTACTTATTCCACCCATGTGCTGTTATATGCTCCTCTTTTGCAAGTAATTGTTTGGATTGCTGCAGATCTGGGTAAATCCAAGTGCTGAAACCTTTCTACCTCATGAGGGGAGTCAAAGAACACTGCAAAATTCTTCATTTATATTTCTTATTCAGCTTTTGGTAATATAGTCTTCTTAAACATAGTGATTTGCTAACTGTGTTTTATATGTATTTCAGTCCTATAAGATCATCAATTTTGCTCCAAGTCTACTGCAAATCATAGTATCAGATCAAGTTGAATTTCCAGTGCGTCAAGCAGGTGAGATTAATTCCTTGTTTCATTTTCTTTCAGTAGAAAGTCAGTCTGTTAGTTATTTCAACAGATACTGAGCTGTTGCAACATAAAGAAGTTCACGTTTGTTCTGAATGTGGAAATGAAAAGGATCTATCTTTGCCGCTTCTTTCTTACATGAGGGTCAGATAAAACCGTGGGTATAGGGTGGAGTCCTGCTTTGGCTTCCATGTGTTTGTAGTGATCCCTACTGGATTGCTGTGATACTGATAGGGAAAGGGAATGATTTCTGCTCAAAACTGAGTACCCAGGGAGGCTTATGTATTCTTTCTCCTGGTGGTGAAGAAGTACTGATGCCAAGACAAATGAGAATTTAAAATAAAAAGTAGCTCTCATTTGAATACATACTTCTTTATTTGAAACCCTTTTCCTGGAAAAATGCAAGTTTCTGAAAAATGAAAAAAAAAAACCATCATTCCCTAGGTCAAGGATAGCTACATATGCATCATCAGTATCTGTGGTATCTGCTTACAAAAGTAGATATGAAGGAAGGTCACATCGCCAATAAATTATAAATTTATAATCTGAGCATGTCTAGAAAGATTGCCCAACTGTGTGTGTGAGTTCAGGTACAGTGATGCAGTTAACTCTAGGGTATACATTTGTCTAAGATCAGATTCTAAATTATCGTAATCTATTTTAACTACTCCTGTACAATATTTTTGACAGATACAGAAAATATTCAGCTTTTTCAAGAAATTGATGAATACTGTTTCATTCACAGCTCTGTTTTTATGCTATGGAACAGCATTTCCCATAGAAGCACTGTTGTGTTTTTTTTTTTTTACAGATCCTATTAATCCCCTGAGTGCGTTGGGGCATGCTGACATATGCTGTTTGTCATGCTGGCGTTTATTTTTTTCAAAGATAATCCAGCTTTGAATGGCATTGTTAAACCATTCTGTAGTAAAGTTTGATGCTTAATCTAGACCCCATAAGGTCATTTTATAAATTAATCTCTCATTTCAGTATCATTCAGGAAAAAACCCCAAGTATGTAGAACATAATTTTTTAAATTCTTGTTTAATTTTTTTATTTTTTACAGAGTAGGGGTATAAAATAGAAAATTTGTATTACATTTGTAAGTCAACAGATTTCCCTGGGAATTTTTTAAAAGCCAAGAATTTGTATAACAACAAACTCTATGGACAGAGTAACTTAGAGTCTTGGGCTGGTCCTGCTGGACCTGTTTCTTGTCTGAATATTCTGGCACGTCACAGACAAAGAACTGTTTTTCCTCTTGCTCCTATAAAATATTTTACAAACTACATGTTTTCATACTCCGTAATTTGTCATCACCAAGAAAAATTATTGTACCCAAGGATACCTTATTTATACTTTAAAACCCTAGCTAGTAATCAACCAAAATAGTACAGGGATAAGAGTTTATTAAGAACATTCATTTAATGTCTTACACCATATTTCCTATGTTTCCTAAAGAATGCCTGCAGGCATTTTAGTACTGAGGCATAAATGGTGCTTTATTTTCAGTTGAAGATTAACTTTATTTTTCATGGTTTTTCATGTGAGACAGAAGGGAACAATTCTCAGGGATTATGGGAAATCCTGATAGTGAGATAAAGCTTAGGGAATTCACAACAAACATTTCTGTCTGAATAGAAGGTAGGCCATGTGCCAGTTTCATGCTGGGCATTTCCCCAAGCTGAGTGTCCCATCTGCGTGTGCAATCATTTGTTTACACGAACCTTCCAAAACTTCACTTACTGAGCTTGAGTTGTTGTTTTAAGGATGAGTAAAAATGCAGTTAAGTAGATTTTTGTTTATTGTTTAGAGCGATGGAATATTATGTCCATATGGAAGACTGCTGTAATAAAGAACGTACCCTGATGGAAATGACTGAAATACTATCCTGTTCTGTTTAGGACCAGGCATTTGAGCCTGATCTTGTGTGGAATCATAAAAAAAAAGGTTTTCTGACTCAGCTGTGCTTAGTGCCTATAATTGTTAAGAAATCATACAGTGGTTTTCAGTCATCTTTTCAACTCTTTGCTCTACTTTCAGCTGTGCTACATGTTGAGCACAGAGTAATGTGGAGATGCGTTAGAATTAAATTATTATTTCCCCAATGTTTATACTTAGCTGCCATTTACCTGAAGAACATGGTGACACAGTACTGGCCAGACCGTGAACCACCTCCTGGAGAAGCAGTATTTCCATTCAACATTCATGAAAATGATCGTCAGCAGATCCGTGATAACATTGTAGAAGGAATAATTCGTTCTCCTGATTTAGTGAGGTACCTTACATTGTGTAGAGATATTTCTGTAGCTCAAGTTTTCAGACCTACCAGTCCGAATGTAGTTAATGTGAGAGTCTCAATTTCTTCGGAGATGAAGCAAGTACTTGTTTTGGAAATGTAATAATAATAAATTTTAACCTATTTATGTGCACTTGTTTTTCAGAAATGTAGTAATCCGGCTAATAGCCCTGTGATGTGATTTGTCCTCTTATGGTGTTTTTTAAAGTGTCTGATAACACTTGCTGTAGTGACAGCCTGTCTATTTGGCTGATTCAGGGCAGATAGCATAGAGGGATATCTGCAATACAGAATTAACCATTCAGAGAAATACTGCCCGAGATCTGTTTTCTGTTTTCTAGTAGCCCTTTTCTCAATTACTTTTGCCATTTTTATATGTAATCCCAGTATTTAAATGTGTATTAGCATTCTTGGCTTTAAGATGTTCAAAGAATGAAGAAATGGTGTTCTCTTGCTGGAAGAATAGTTAAGATTCACAGACACACTACAATCTATGATTGTTCCCCACTAACTAAAGTGAGGCTGATAGGATGTGATTAGGCTGTAGTGTGTAGATGATCGTCTTTGAAACACAGAAGAAAATCTTCCTCTTCTCTCCTCCTCCTCTCCACAAACTAGGTGCTCAAAGATGTCTTTTTTTGTCAGTAGTCGTATCTGGAAGAGGAGTGATTGACTACGGATTAAAATAGAGGTTAGAGAAAACACTTTAAAAAAAATAGTGGAACGCTAGAATGCGTTAGACTGCTGTAGCATTGTTGTCACTGGAGGTCTTTATGAATAGATTAGACAAACATCTGCCAGGAATGCTTAGGGTATAAATGGTCCTGTACTGAGACAAGAAAATGAGCTAAATCATCGTTTCCAGTTCAGCTTTTCTAACATGCTCTGACGCAGATGATTAGTATCTCCACTGAAAAAGATAGGTGCTTCTTAGCAAGGTTGTGCTACAAGGTAAGGAAGCTTGTGTTGTAATAAAGGCACGTAGTTTCCCCTGTCGTGTCATAAATACTAAGGCTAGGTTTATACAAAAGAACACAAAATAATGGGAGTTTGAAGAGTTTTTTGTGAAGTAGTTCAGGCGTTGTTTCATAACCTGGTATTCAAAATGTCCTGACGTTACAATGACAATCTACATCTAAAAGGTTTGTTGAAAAACCCAGGACAATCACCTGGAATAAAGTACAGGGTTTCTAAATACTGGCTAAACTTGTAGATTTGTCAGAGGTTAAAAAAGTCAAAGAAACTTTACTGGAACTAATCTGATGTTCTAATAGTGATATTTTTCACTGTTTGCTTGTGAGAATAAGGGAGGATGAGGAACTAAATCGGCAACAAGCACAAACTCCAAAGGCTTTAGGGAGAAGATGAGTTTGTACAAAGCTAAAAGGATCAGTAGGTGGAGGGCTCCTTATTAAAAAACTTTGTAATAATGGCTCCTTATGTAATGGACTGCAAGAGGATACCCAAGGCAAACTAAATACAGAAGAACCAATATTTTCTTCAGACTTTTTTTTTTTTAATTCCTTAGCAGAGCCAGGAGGGTTTGTTTACAGTTTCTAATTCAGTGCCATTCAGCTTTTTTAGTCAGACCTCACTATAGTCAATTAGCAATGCTGACTTGCCTCACCATTGTGAGTGGCATCTGAAAATGTGTGGAGGGAGAGGAATGGTAAGATGTTTTTACCTAATTGGCTCTGCCATATGCTTTGGGGGTTGAGAAAGTGCTGTTCTAGAAGATCCTAGGAAAATTGTAATTTCATGAGGAACCTCTGGCCTGAATAACAACACAGGCCAATATTGTTTAATAAAAATGTACAAATTTGTGTTTTTGTGGTTGCTTTCAGTCTCATAAGCCTGTAGAAGTATAAACATTCATTTTCAAAGTGCAAAGCTAGCTCATTTCATAAGCAATTAATTGTTTTCAAATATTGCCTGATGGGTATGGAGAGGGAGGAGGAAGGGAGAAAAGTAGCTAAAATGTCCTGAAATTAGTTTCTTCCTTAAGGTTAAATCCCCTGGGATTTTTTTTCTTTCTTTTCCTCTACCACTTCTCAGAACTCTCTCAGCGCTGTTAAAATATGTGTGATACTTATGATGTAATATGTATATTGTGGCAAATAAACCGAGGGTTAGGATCTATCCTTTAATATTAAACACTATGGCATGATCTTATCTATTTATAAGTATTTCTTTTTCCCTCCTGCCGTAGAGCCCAGCTGACAATGTGCCTCCGTGCTATCATTAAACATGACTTTCCTGGCCATTGGACAGCCGTGGTAGACAAGATAGGCTACTACTTGCAGTCTCAGAACAGTGGGAGTTGGCTTGGGAGCCTCCTGTGCCTGTATCAGTTGGTGAAGACTTATGAGTAAGTTTATGTCCATCAGTAGATGAGGAATCAGTACTTTTCGTCTCAGCTGATTACCAAGAAGGATGTTCTTAAGAGCACTGGCAGTTCTACAAGAAATTCGGATAGCAAATGGGAATAAATCATTGTCATATCATTCCCTTCCTGCAAATAAATGAAAACTATTTATCATCTTTGTATCATCAGTGAATTGAAGCAGAGATGCCAGCAATAACCTGTATGAATTTGCTGACATTTTTTCTTGAGGCTTTGTACTTTTGATCTGATTTCACCCATTTGTAGAAAAATTTCTTAAATGTTTGTAACTTCTTTTGTTTGAAGATTCCCCAAATGCTGGATATATGAATGCAAATTATTTTCTACTTTTATGTCATGAATACAGTATTGTCATTGTCATATACTCCTATTGCTTATTGTTACCTATACTATCCTCCTGATAGTCTAAATCCACAAAGCATAAATTAGGAGAAGTGTAGTGAGCTGTCTCATTTTTCAGAAAAAATTATCTGTTGTTAGAAACGTATGTATAAACAACACAAAAGAAATGTGAATGGAGAAAGAGAATCTTTCCAAACAAAGGAATTGTCTTTCCCTTTCAATGGCTGTTCACTCCTATTTGTTCAGCACCCGACTTGGGTTTGGCATTGGTATGAATATCAGAGCAATTCAAGTCCCTGCTACTGTGAGCTGACTATTCAGTAATAGAGAACATGAGTTCTTCCTCCCAATAACTGCATTTATATAAGGTAACATTTGTTGGTTTTCATTTCTCTATATATAGGTTAGCGAATTTGCACAAATTGTTGACATGGGGGCTAGAGGAGGGGAGAGTGAATGAGTGAGTGCTGGGTATTAATTTATTTTTTTTTTTTTAGGGTACAGAAATTAAATTGCTGGTGGGGAATAGGCATTAGAATCTTCAGAATATAGATGCTGGAACAACATTTTTGTTTCCTTTGCAGATACAAAAAAGCAGAGGAGCGAGATCCTCTCATAGCAGCAATGCAAATATTTTTGCCTCGGATTCAGCAGCAGATGATCCAGCTTCTGCCTGATAACTCCCATTACTCTGTACTGCTTCAGAAACAAATCTTAAAAATCTTCTATGCTCTTGTTCAGGTTGGCATCTGTGTAGAGGAAAACCAAAACTTTTACTTTACTGGGCACACCGACCCCTTTCAGTACACTCATGGGTGTGATTGAATAAGAATACCAATTTGGATGGGAAAAGTCGTGTACAATAAACAGCTTTTATAAAAATATGATCTTTATAGATTTTTCTATTTAAAAACTGGTCACGTGATCCTTCAGATTAAATTTTTAATGAGCCTAGGTACTTCTGCACATCTATCTGTAAGCTTACTGGAGAAATGTTCCAATTTTTATAAAGTCACACATAACCTGATATAAACTGTATGGGTATCTAGACTGTGCTAGTTGGCCCCTGAAAATGTCAATAGTGCATATTGTAGTATAATTGTCAAATAGTGCACTTCAGTAGGTGGCATTTCTCATTACCTTCTGAAGATCTGGTAGAAATTATTTATTGAGGCACATGCACTTTACAGAGATAAGTTTGGCTTTGACAGGGATGAGTTTGGTAAGGAAGTACTTTCAGAGAATGAGAAACAAAACAAGATCCTACATAAAGGGTAGCCTGAAAATTCTTACTGGGGGTTAAAAAGCTAAAATAGTTTGTTATTAGATGGGAGGAGGATTAAAAAGATCCCAAGATGATATTTTACTTTTCAATAGCTTGCCTGAATGTTGTCACTTTGCTTTGGGTTTTGTAGAGAGGTAAGATTTACTAGATAGTAGCTAGGTAGTAATTAAGAGTACATTTCACCTCCTAAAATGCTATTGGTTTATCCAAACTCTGTAATATAAACACTACAGTGGTCCCTAGAAGTTAGCTAGGCTACTGTGAAGAAGAGGAAGAAACAAAGAGAGTTAGCAAATTCTCAGACCAAGAAACTTCCCTCAGCTAGTGTCTGCTTAGAAATTCCTCTGTAAATTGTACCAAGAAGGATACAGTTAGAGTAGTATTAAGATCTAGCCTAGTTTTAATTTTACTTAAAATTTCATCTTCCTCAGAATGTAACTACCATAGAAACACCTTCTACCTTTTTCAGAGAAAAGTAGTATTTCATGACTGTTTTTTTTTTTTTTCTTATTTCAGTATGCATTGCCACTCCAGTTGGTGAATAACCAGACTATGACTCAGTGGATGGAGATCTTCCGTACTGTCATTGATAGAAATGTACCTCCGGTAAGTTTTAGTTTTGTAAAGGCCTCTGATACTTGTGTGTTGGCCTTTCAGGAACAGTCAGTGTGAAGATTTTCTAAGTGTTTTCTTTTTTAAAATGTCATCTATTTAAGATTCTTACCCTTGTGGTGTTTCCAATAGAAACATAGGTAGACGGTGTAAGCTGTCAGAATTTCATTGTCTGAGGTAGTAATACCATGTAAACTTCAATCTGGGGTATTTTGGAAGTTTCCAAATATTATAGCCATTTTCTGTCAAACAAGAATCAAAAGCTCATCACAAACCCATAATTTGTCTCCATTCCTGTTTTGCTTTCATCTGTCCTTCATGTTTCTTGAAGAACAAAATAAAAATAGTCATTAAATTCTTCTTTGTTTGTGTACAACATTAACTGGCATTTCCTCAGTTTTTAGAAATTTATTTCACAACCTTAATATTCTTTTAATAGCTTTTGCATTAGCATATGGTCAGGGTGTATATATTTGGAGGAGTTAGTATCATGCTTAATTTTTAAGCCAGAGTGCATGCCACTGTGTAGTATTCAAGTTTATGTGAGACTTTCTGTTTTTTAAATATGCATAATTTTGAAAATTAAAGTACAGGCATTGTACAGGTATTGCACATATACAGTTATGTTGACTAATTGAGATATTTGAAAGTTCCTGAATGCTATATAACTGTTAACAGAACCAAAGCTTTAGTTGATGCTGTGTATTTGTATTGGTTTACTCAGCAAGGAATGTTTAAAGCATCATCTCTCTCAACAAAACACACAGCTAATTTAAAATAAATGTATTTATTTATAGGAGACTTTGCAAATTGATGAAGATGATAGACCGGAGCTGGTATGGTGGAAATGCAAGAAGTGGGCATTGCATATTGTAGCTCGTCTTTTTGAACGGTAACAAACTGATTAAAAACTCAGTTTGGGTTATGAATCTGTAACATTACTTGAGGTGCAATTAGACAAGACAGTTCAGTTGATTTAACAGGTCATGGTCACCAAAGAGATATGCCTGCTGCTGTCCTCTGCCTTGTGCTGACACAGCCACTCACTGGTCTGAGCTCTTAGTGAAATAATTTGACTCTAAGATAGTAAGAAGGTAGTACCACAGGAAAAGTACTTTTTTTTTTTTTTTCCTACTTCCAGCTACAAGTGCTTATATTCTCAAATATAAAGCCAGGGGAAGATTTGAAAAGAAATCCATAAATATAGAAGTTTCAGAGCTTGTAACAAAAAGATGGCTATATTTACTCGACTATAGTATTGTATCTTAGGATAATCTAAGAAAAGAAAAGGAAAGTGGGGCATTACGTGGGAAATAATGACTTAGAAGAAACCTATGGGAAAGGATTCCTTTGGGGGTGGGGAAGACTACTCAGAGTCCTTTGTGTTTTAGCAAGTGCTGCGTTTTCCTGACACAGTAGACTTCTCACAGTGTAAGTATCTGTGTTCTCTTCTTTTTAAAGGTATGGAAGCCCTGGGAATGTAACTAAAGAATACTTTGAATTCTCAGACTTTTTTTTAAAAACTTATGCTGTGGGCATACAACAGGTAAGTACAGTTCATTTGTTTCTGAATTAGATCGTTTTGGCTGAAGAAATATATTGCTTTTCAACAGTGTGCTCATATCGAAATTCATCATTAAACAAAAACGAACAGAGTCAGGCAGGTTTTCCTTTTAGTGACTGAGAAGTTCTTTAGAACTCAGGGTCATACAACTGAGGTATATAATAATACAAATTTTCAACAATTCAAAAAACCCTGCAGGAAAATTCTCAGAAAAGGTGAGTGCTGATAAAACAGTATTATCATCATGTATAAACAATCTAGATATAGCTGAGAGAAAAAACTATTGATGCAGAGGCCTCACGTCATAGAAGGGTGTATTTTCAGGCCATCTTTAGTAAATGCTTCTGCTGCAAACAACTTGGGCACAGTAATCCAATGATACTGTTTTATTTCAGGAAGATAGAAGCAGGCTAGAAGGTGTCTGGAGAACAGCAATAAAAGTTATTTTATACCTGGAAAGCATATTTTATAAAAATATAGCTAAATTCACAGTTTGTAAGGAGATTATCTTTTTCGGGGAGTTGCTAACTGTGATTAACATGGTGTTGTGGAGAGTTCAGTTCTGATAAAGGGGCACAGAAGTGAAGCAATTCCTGTTAGTTTTCTGTGTTTTTCTACCAGCTCAACTGTGGGCCCCTGAGAACATGGGCTTCCAGGCTTCCAGCATCAACCTGTTTTGGTGGAATGGCTATAGCAATTGGGTGCCTGAAAACCCTGAGAGTGCTGGCTCCCAAGCTGGGATGTTTTTGGCACAGCTCCTCCTATTTCTCACTCAGCCTGCCATATACTAGATGACTAGGAGTGGTAGTTCCCAGGCTTTTGGCTCAGCTAAAGCTCTTGGGTGTCCAGGCTTTTGGGTTACGTGTTCCAAACAGGCTCCTAAGAAGCCAGGAGAATGCAGTATGCTCTCCTGCTCGTGATTCTGGGCTCTTGATTCCCTTTGGCCTGTAAACCTTGAAAAACACCTGGGAATGCTGTTTTTCAAGTGACAAATGTTTGGATAATGTGTATTTCCAGAATATGTGGCTCCTCAGCACGCTGCTGGATGAAATATCCCTGAAATGGCATCTGCAGGCTTCTTACAGTTTAAATTTCCATTGTCTTTGATGCAGGTTGCCAGGCTGTTGTTGTCACTTCAAGTCAAATTTAAACTAGATTTCAAAATACCAGGATTGTCTGCAAAACAAAATTACTTTTCTCCATCCAGTTTGGCAACAGAATAGTTGTCAAACAGTGTATTAATTCTGTGTAAAAATGTAAATGTTAAGAACTAAGGAGAAGAATGATTGTGGTGAGGCTGTAAGCATTACATGAAAAGGGAAACAGTCTAATATCTATTCTAAAGTCCTTGCAATGTTTAACTCCTGAGTGGAAAAGTGGAATCCCATGGGCAGTTGTCATTTGAAACACTTAAAGTTTGTCTGCTAAGAGATTAGGCTACGTAGCAGAGGGAGCAGTTTAGCTTTCAAGATAAATGACCTGGACAATCTGCACATTTCTTCCATTTCTGGCTCTTAAATGCTGATTTGTCATGTTTCCTTGCAGAGTTAGTAAGAATTGTATTGTGAATGTTACATTACTAAGCCTTCATTACTTATTCATCAGTTTTTACGTGCTGACATTGTGCAAGAGTCTATATGAGAGAGACAAAGTTCTTGCTCAAGGAGTGTATCGTATAAAAGACTTAAGATCAGACTTAGTACTCCTAATGAAAGAGTTATGTTCAAAATAAGATGTATTATAATGTGAAGAATTATGAAGCAGAATTGTCCTGAAAATATATGACTCAATATTTTGTTATGCATTGCCCTTGATTTTTATTGTTGTTCACGTACATGCCAATTCTTTACACTTATTGACACTTAATAGTTCATCTGCCATTAGTGCAGATTAGTGGCTTTGTACTGTAGGTTTTTCTTTGTAGAACAAGCCTTTATATTAAGGAAGCTTTGTGTGATGGACTTTGTGATACCATGCTAGGTGATACTATCTGATGGTTACAATAGATAATTGAAGTTAAGGGTTTTGCATCTCTTCTGGTTCGCAGATTTAGGTGCTAACCTATTTTTCTTTTCTAGTTTAATATTTTTATTCTAATCACTGTTCTTCTAAAGCAATTTGTCTTCTTTAAGGGCCTGTCCTTAAAAAATGAATACAGACACCACTAACATTTAGAAGTCAACCAGTCTGAAAATCTCACTGTGCCTTTTCCTTATCTATTTCAAATTTTGCTGAGGCTTGTGTAAAGTGTGAACCTGTGAATATTGAAGTATATCTTTGGTTTGTAATCACAACTGGTCACATGGTGGGGCTAGTAGTAAAGGTAGACATGTACATAAATGCTGACAGGACTAGATCCTTAATATTTATATGATTATTTCTGATTTTTGGATCAAAGGCATTACAGTGATTACTAACACTAGAACCTCTGTTGTAAAACTAATTAATCTGTCCATGTACATTCACTGAAGAGGTGCACTGCGTGTCTATGCATGAGAGAGAATTTTCGGTCTTCATTTAAAAAATATCAATTTGTTATCTCTTTAGGTTCTCTTAAGAATCTTAGACCAATACAGGCAAAAAGACTATGTTGCGCCACGTGTTCTTCAGCAAACATTAAATTATCTGAACCAAGGTGTTATTCACTCTGTAACATGGAAGCAAATGAAGCCACACATACAGGTCAGTGCATAAAACCCAGTCATAAACACTGCATATCATCAGAGTGATTAAAAAACATCCCAAAACCTCACCAATTTTGCAGTTTTAAAGAAGGTTTCATGAATCTTTCGTGCAGCAATTGATCTGGGCAAAAAAGAGCATTTCTACATGAATGTGGTTGTTTTTTTCAGTATTACGACTACTTTTTATTGCAGATATTATTAACTCAATTAAAGATTCTGTTCCGTAAGTTGTTTATTTTTATTTTTGAAGTCTGTCTGCCATACACTGATAATGTTCTGGCATTTATTAGTTGCTGGTGTTCAGAACTGTATAGATTTGGAAATTCATAATTGATTGTAGTGCAAAGATAGTGGGCAAAGAGAATATGAACTATGAGGAACCGAACTGTGTTTTACAGATGTGTTTTATAAGTGAACTAAGAACAAATGAAAAGGGATTTTCATGCTTTTCTTTTTTCATATCATAAGCTCCCCTGTTCTAGTTAGTTACTCCCATGACTGTTAGGAGGAAAGACTCTGAAATCCATTCTGATACTAAGTGTTGCATTGGTAGGATCCTTCTGCAGAATGCAATATTCTGCTACTTATAGACTATGTCCTGAGGTATATTTTGTATGTGGTATTGTATTATTATAAATGCTGTCTGGGACCTTTGCGAAAGGAAAGTATGTATATTGTAAGTTTATTTCTGTTAGCCAAAATAAAAGAGCACTGATTAAAAGAATTTTACTCTTCAGAAAAGTAAATTAGTGCATACTGGAACAAAGCTGTACTGGAATGTGATTTTATGTGTACTTATGTGTATTTGACTTCTCTAATATTAGAGTATAACAGAAGAAGTGATATTCTCTCTAATGTGCTACAAAGATGAGGATGAAGAGCTCTGGCAAGAGGATCCATATGAATATATCCGCATGAAATTTGGTAAATGTTTGTGTTTAGCATTTATTTTTTGCTTTCATCTATCTTGTATACTATAGTCCCAGTTAACAGCACGGCCACTGCAATGTCTGTCTTCACCAGTGTCCTGAAAAAAGGAAGAGAAAATTTGTTTCTTAAATCTCACCAATCTGTAGTTAAAAAAAGGTAGCAGATCAAGTGAGTTTTGGCCTTTTGGCTAGTAGCTTTAAAATAAATGATTCACTTAATGTTTTTTTCTGCTTCACGTGTACTCAGTGCAGCCCACATAGACTGACTTGCTCACTTTTTAATGCCAGTTTCAGAATCCTGAATTGCAAATGTGCAATTGTCTGCAAGTTCTTGCAGCTCTCACTTTGACCAGAAGAGGCCTGACTTGCTC